CTATTACCAATAGATATATTATTAGGATACAAACTTGGTTCTCATATTTCAAATTTGATATTGAATACATAAAAGGAAAAACTAACTTTCTTCCTGATTATCTTAGCAGGGATGGAGCTAGAACATCTAAGGGCGAAAGTCTAAATACTTGAGATAAAAATTTCCTATTTAGAAACACAAATCCAAAATATCCAAGATAGCATTCGAGGCAAAAATATAACCCTTGAGGCAGAAGTAATGTGTCCCAAGTCTAGTATCATTTCGCAGGGACTTGTGAATACTAGCGCTCTCCCCGAGGATAAAGGGAAAGAGAAGAAGGTAATAGGAACCCCTTCACAGGGAATACTTAAACCTATTACTGGTAATGAAGATATTCAAGATATCAAAAGTGAAGGTAGCTCTTCACAGAGCCAAACTCAATCTAAACTTTCTATTGAAAGAATAAATCCAAAAGATATTGTCAAGATATGCCATGAAGCAAAAATTTCGAGAAAAGATAACCATGAAGAAGTTATATTCTTTATTATTATTTTTAATGTTCTATCAGATTGGTATTTAGAGATAGGAAAGTGGATGAAAACTCTCAACTATGCAAAATACAACAAGATAAATTTTTATCCAGGAGCACCAGCCAACTGTACGAAACTGTTTTGAGATAGGAAATATACTCTATATATATCCTAGCAAGGATCTCAAAGAAATAGCCCAACTTCCAGTCAACATCAGGAAAGCTGTTAAAAGATATACTAAAGTCGTCAAGACAACAAATATATACATCAGGTTCCATTCAGCAACTATGAAATGGGATCCCGTTCTTGAATATATGCATCCATCGTTCCATGTTATCAAAATGAGACTTACAAACCAACATTTTTTACCAACCAGTCAAAAGGTTGTTAAAAATGGATATCAAGATATTTTAAATATGATGCCCTACAGCAGAGTAAAAGGGTACAAAGAAATATTTAAACATGTAACTCAGATAATTACTGAAAAAGAAAAAATATGGGTTTATCCATTTGAAGACCATATTATCTACTCCAATGCAAAGATGGCTACAATGGAAGAAGATATTTGTTATCTTGACCATTTATTATCTGCAATTATCTCCAACCAAGTAAATAGATCAGAAGATATGGCTAAAGAACTGTGCAAATTACTCTGGAATTACAGTGATCACCATTGTGAATACTGTGTAGTTGAAGAGATGAGTCAAGCATCTCTCAATAATGAAGAATTCCCTACAGAATTCTTTGATTCGAAAATTGAAAAGTGATGATGACAAAAGTGGCCCTTTATCACTAATTTAATAAAGAAATTTATTAAAGAAAAACTGTGGCTACTAAAAGACAGAAAATAATGCAAGAAAGTCTCCAAAATTATGACCACTCACCCACCAGTTGTCAAAAGAGGAAGACAAATGCAAAGATAAGACAAATAATTTTAAAAGAAGAGGTCCACATAGCAAGAAGATAATGGAAAAATCGGTAGAGATGAGACTACTCAACTACCCAACAAAAGAAAGTGGGAAACACCTGTCAAGATAAGATTCCCAAAAGGCTTCTATAAAAGGAGGTAAGAAGGAAGAATAAGCATCTCGAATAACACTATCTCTTAAACACTCTGAAGAAACACATCTTTGAGAGATATTTTTTTTGTAATCTGTATACATCACTTGTATTCAAAAAAATATTAGATAGCTTGAAGATAGCAAAGCTTGTAAGAAGGTAATCACTTATGGAGTTCTAAACTTTATAAGGTGAGTACCAAAGGTATGTAAATATAGATTGTAAGCATGTACTATTTCAGTTTATAAATATCAAAGTAAAGTTTGTTATGTTCAACAAAGTTTTCATAAAAGGATTTCGTTAAATTTCTCATGATTCCTCGACAATACAGATAGAGATTTTAAAAGATTTTTAAAACATTGATTTTGAATGGATGTTAGTCATGCTAAAGTACCCGTCTTTAATGAATGGTTTAGGGGAAAAAGACAATTTTCTAACAAAATTGTAGCACCTTGTGTGTGAGTTATCTTTTAAAATTTCGTTCCAAGTAAGAACTTGATTCTGAAAAGAGTTTGGATAGAGGTGATAACAGAGACTCTGGATACTGTGAGATAGCGTCTGTGGCAACACGACTAGTTCTCTAGAGTGAGAAATGCAACCTTAATTGAAAAGCCTTTCGTGGAAGCAGTTGTGGACCCAAATGATTTCAAAAAACATTTAAACATTTACTTGATTCAGAAGATTGATTAAGTACATGCAAAACATCTATAAAAGCATACTGTAAGTTATTTACTCGCTTTTATATACTTGTGCTTTGATTATTCTAATGAACAATTCACAAGCATCCACATCCAATTCTAATGATTTTAGATTATACTTAGATGAGAGAGATATTTCGTTTTTATTCAAATTAGTTGAAAAGTTTGAAGATATATTTCCTGTTGGCAAAGAGAAAATTGAAGAAATATACCAAGATATAGATTATTTTTGTAAGCACAATATAAGATTTGATTTTGTAAAAACTAGCAGAGAAATAAGAAAGGTAGAAAATATTATAACTAAACATAGAGATATACAAGAAGAAGTCTCAGAAGGATTAGTTCGAGGATACATAATTAAAGAAGATCAGCCTAAAATCTTTGAAGAATTATTAAAATATAAAGAATATTTAAAGGTGTTTGAAAGATTGAAAAATATAGATAAATGTCTTGATTAATAAGTCCCGAAAAATACAGATATATCTTACAAATAATATAAGTAAGGGTAAAATAGTACTTTCAATAGAATAGGCCATTGTGGAAAATAGGATCAATAATCCAGTCATTTAGAAGACTATCCCCTTGTTTGTTTGGTTGCTTCCACTTGTGTTACTGTTATTTAGTAGTTTAAGCCCTTGTTTGAGCCACATTATTTCAACAAGAATGCATTTTTTAATAGTAAATCGATGAAAAATGTGTGTTTTAAAAATAAGAATTTTTTTTAGATTTATATGTAGTATTATTTTATTTAAGAATGTGGGTTAAAATGATGTCAAATTACTATTTAATAATATATTTTTTTGAAAGAATGTGGATCAAACACACTCTAAAAATGAAAGTTCCTTATCGCGCTTAATCACACTCTGCAGTTACCTTTGGTGTAGTCTTCACTTTCGGAAAAAGCGTTTTATGGCCAAGTTCTCAAAAGAATTTCACCGTGTCCTATCTACGTCTAAGCAAAAAAAGTCGAAAAATCGACCAACTCAATCAATTCGAATCAACTTGAATCGGTTTGATGCAAGTAATTGGTTTGGTTTGATATTCTTTTAAAAAAATCACGGTGGGAAGATTTTGTCATGGTTTGAAGTCTCAAACGTAGATTAACAGAACCAACCCAAACGACTTACATATTTACTTTTTTTTTATTAAGAAAAATAAAAAGAAAAAGATAAGCCCTAATTTCATAACTATATTTCGATTCCTTCCAATCTATCATGTAGCCAGTATGTAATAGCACTAGGAATTTCCCATTGGAAGCTCATTATGCTATACTTAACATTTTTTTGCTACTCAAACATTTAGACTATATATTACATTGAAAAATAATAAAACTTTTAAGTTTTTATTTGATTTATCTCTATTAGCCTGATTTTATTTGTTAGTCAATAATTCTTGTAATATAAAATTATTTGGTTATTTTAGTTTTTGTAATTTAAGTGAGCCCAAAACTTGGAAAATCAATTTGGACTAAAAATTCAAATCAACTAAGCGAACCGAACAAATCAAATCGAGGGTTCAATTTAAGAGTTAGAGTCGGTTAGTTTGGGATGAAATTCATCCGAACATATTAATTTAGTTTTGATTCCAGATTGGAATCGAAACAGATCCAAATAAAACCATGCCCCAGGCCCAATTCCTATGATCAGTATTTCACTAATTAGAAGGTTAAAAAATTTCATTAATAGAGCATATAAAGAATTAAAGGCTCATTTCTTCCTCATATATTTTAAATATAAAAATAGGACATAATATTGGTCCCAATGTCAAAGCATGCTATTACATAATATTTGGTTCAATTAAAATATCGAAAAAAATTTAATTCAAAATCAACAATTTTTAAGTACACATTTTGACAACCATCCATCTTATCAATTTTTATTAAAAATTACTAAAAATCTGATTTTGATTTAAACCAAATAAGGGCTAACCTATAATTATAAAAAGGAAAAAAAAAAAGAGTTTAAAATAACGAAGATTGAAAATCTTTAATACAATTACGTAGCGTAATCAAGAAAAAATGAAGTGTTAGCCCTTGTTTGGTACCCATTTTTTCCAAAATACATTTTTCTTTCTCTTATTTTCAACCATACACTCTTCAATAAAATAATATTACATGCAAAACTAAAACTTTTCCTTATTTTTTAACCACACATTTTTCAACAATCACTATTACAAAATGCATTTTTACTATGAAAATGAGAAAAAAACATGCTTTAAATATAACCATTAACAATTTAAAAAAAAAAAAAAATTTATTGGCCATCCTGACATGAACAGAAAAGCCTACGCATGCAAGTGCTATTTGAGAATAATTAATCATTAAAATCTCATTTGACTATTCTAATTTACTTCGTGTACGAGCAAGCCATCCCCAAATTTTAATGATTAGAATAATGCTTTTTTGAAAAATGTGTGATTGAAAAAAAAATGAAAATTTTTTATTTTTACGTAATATTATTTGATAGAAGAGTGTATAATTGAAAATAAGAGAGAGAAAAAAAATGAGAAAAAAAATGGAGGTCAAACGGGGGCAAAATTTCATCGAGTACTATTAAAGGGTAAATTTTATACTGCAAAAATATGAAATAAATATACAACATACAAAGTGCTGAAACCTAAGATGTATGAACTCTTTTGTTTCCTTTATTCAGTGCAATAATTGAACTATTATAAAGTAATACAAGAAATATTTGTGGCAAAATACTATTTCAGAAGTATTTGCAAACTAGAGAAATGGAGACGTAAGAAAACTAACTTCTTTCAATGGATAAAGTAACTGCATTTACAAAAGCACCCCTTTCCTGAAAATCTTTATAATGAACCACCATGAATACATACTAAAAACCAAAAGAGAAAGAGAAAGAAAAACAGCTTTGAGTAGAACAATTTACACAAAGCTAACATATACAGCAAAACAAATAAGATGATGCAAATAAACCCGATAAATCTCTCTCTGCGGCAAAACTTTTAGTTTAGACAGTTCTATCGTGTGCTGAAGCAAACGTTGTCGTGGTCTGAGAAGAAGTCCCCAAGGACAGTGTTGAACTCTTCAAATCATCAAAGCCATATGATGTGTAATTGGGAGACTTACTATTGATATCAGGCTTCGTTTCTGGGGCACTACGAACCTTCAGGTCCATGAAGTCAGAGATTAAGCCCGGCTGGCTAATCATATTTTCATTGGCGTCCTTCTCACCGGTTAGCATTTGAACAACAGTCGACATGGAAGGTCGAAGCTTTGGAGATTCTTGTGTGCAGAGAAGACCGATCTTTAAGAATCTGCAAGCCTGTTCAGCATCGAAGTCTCCATTTAGCGATGTATCCACAAGTGCCACCAATTTGTTTCTCTCGTAAAGTTGCCATGTCTGCACCAAAATTTTAACAAGAAAGAAAAAATACTGGGGTTGGCCATAAAAAATATCCTAAGACATTTTTAGCTAAGCTTAAGAATTACTTTCCTAGAAAGTAAGTTAAACTCGTGCTAGTGAAAAAAGTAACTTCTAAAATATTGCGGCAAAAAGAAAATAAATATCCAAACCAATATAAACAAGATACCACTGCATACTATTTAATGACATTTACCTCCCATGTAACCTAAAAAAAGCTTCCTGAAAGAACTCGTTAAGAGCGTATTGCCATATTCAGTAGTCGTGAGATAGCAAAAGATAAATAAATCATGAGGTTCCTGAATAATTTACCCTTTCAAGAATATACTGCTCATCAGCAGGTAATCTTGTGTCTGTGTTACATCTTCCGCTCACAATTTCAATAAGAAGAACACCATAACTGTAAACATCTGCCTTACGCGTCAACTGACCTCCTATTGCATATTCTGGTGCCAAATAACCTCTGCAGCATTAGACACAGATAAAATTATGAGTTAATAATTGTATTTCCGTAACATGAAAAAAAGTAGAAGCAGCAGCAGAGACAGATGTTAAAAACAGTACCCATTGAATCATAATATTCTGAATTGAACAAGAGTAACCAACTAGAAGCAACAAAAAGTTCAGTCAGCAACCACTCATTAATCTAGCCTCCGTTGGCTGATTATTCAACCAGCTGTAAGCAATGTTTCTAAGATCAAGTTTGGCTAAGCTTAAAAATTAGCAAAAGTCATTTCCAAGTAAAAGAAACTCTCATTTATTTCCAACTTTGATCAGTTAAAAAAATTATTTACTTTAAAACTTACTTATCCACTTATAAGTAAACATCTTAAGCTTAGCTAAGCATGCTTTAAATCACACATTCAATGAACTTTACAAGATGGTAAAAGGTACAAGTTCTTTAAACATCTCCCGTATATTTTACAACTTACATTGTTCCAGCCACCCTTGTACTGACATGAGTCATGTTGGGAGGGATGAGTCTCGCCATACCAAAATCTGAAATTTTAGGGGTCAAATCTTTGTCAAGAAGAATATTACTTGCTTTAATATCCCGGTGGACGACATGCGGTCTCACATCCACATGAAGGTAGGCAAGTCCTCTTGCAACTCCAATGCAAATTTTAACCCGTGTTTGCCAGCTAAACTGGATGCTGCAGTGACCTCCACCTACGAAGGATGTTTAAGAACGTCGGATTCATTTCTTTCTGAAGAAGAGTCCATACAAATTCCATATGCATTATCAAATGAAATATTGAAGTGTCACTAGAAAAAATAGCCACAGAAAAACTCCTTGGTGAATTTCAGAAAACTTCATGTCACGAACTAGAAAACATGAGATGAAAACTAGGTAAGCAGCCATACCAAGAAGCGTTTGTGCCAGGCTGTTATTCTCGAGGTAGTTATAAACAAGAATCCGTTGATTGGCTTCCACACAACAGCCATAGAGCTTAACCAAATTTTCATGCTCTATATCAGATATCACTTGAATCTCTGTCATAAACTCTTTTACTCCTTGCCTTGATTCAGAAGAGAGAACCTTTATGGCAGCCATCCTCCCATTCTTAAGTTTTCCCTTTTGATACAAGACATTTTATTTTTAAAAAAAGTCAAGCTCCAATCTAGAAATAGTTAATAATAATGGGATAAAATTGACAGAGAACCCTTTTTTACCTTATAAACAGAACCATATCCTCCCTCCCCGATTTTATTGATATCACTAAAACCATTGGTCGCAATTCTCAGCTCCTTGTATGAGTAAAGATTAACATTGTCGAAACCAGAGAGCTCTGTTCAATATTCAATTTTTCTATCGTTAAGATATGAACAAAAAAAAAGGTCGAGAGAAAAAAGGTCGTGCACAGCCTATCCATGCACATCCTAAGGTAGTTAGAAATGATGTATAATTTGAAACAGTGACTTTTATCTATTACACAATTTTGAGCATTGCATTTGTACATAGAAGTTTAGAAATTTACCATCAAGCTCGGCTGAATGTTTAGCAACCTCCAATCTTCTGTTGCATAAGAAAGAAAAGCAAGTCATGACTATGGAATCTACCTGTGGCTCCTCTCTGTCTGAACCACAGAAATAGCACTTCAATGGAACGCTAAGACAGCCTGCCAAATCAGATAAAGCATCTCATATTTCTTTTTCATGCATAATCAAGTCAGCGAGTATTGAAGGTGATGTGTATAATACTATAATCATATATCAGATTTTGTATTTTTGGTACCTAAACGGGTTTGTTCTCCCGCGTGTAAAGCTGGGCAGTAGATGATATGAAACTGATCATGAACAGTGGTTTTTCTTTGCAAAATATTACAAAATTTCAGAAAAAGCTCCATAGGGAAATACAACTAAATTTTCTATTGAATAACACGCAAGACTAGAAATATTATACAAAAAGATCAATAAAAAAACAATTAAACAAACACCGTCCCAACCTGAGAGTTGTTTCATCGAAGTTAATTCTAAAAATTATCCCGTTTTTCAATTGCTATTAAGCCTGAACAAGGGAAAACTATAATAGCAATTGGCATCGCAACAGGCAGAATATTTTACAATACCATAAAAGAAAACTATAAAAAGATTGAATCATCAACCAATATCAATTCTATTAATCTATTAACCTCGTTGTCACTATCATGATAGAATTATTTCAACTGGTTTTTTGCCCAGTGTTTCCTTAAAGGGTGTATCAATCTACAAGAAATTTGTAATTAAAATATCGAAGAAGCTGAACAGTGATATAATAAAGCGTTAAAAGAAACCAAAAATCACCTCAAAAGCTCATAAAATTATTTGGGAAAAATCTTCAGCAGGAGAAACAGTGATTATTAATTTCAGATTATTAGAGCTGAATGTTGACGATGAAATGACACTATGGAACTTTCAGCTTGTTGACCACATGGAATGGGATAAAAATTTATTTTCCAATATGAAAATTAATTAAAGACCAAATATTTATTTTGAACGGAATGTTATGTAAACTATTGCGTAACTATTTACGTACAAATAGCATTATTAAATATTATTATGTAAAAATAGCAAAATGTGGAATGCTAAAACACAAGTCTACGAGTTTTTATAAATTTAATATTCAGTTTTAGAAAATCTTTTAATTTTAATTGAACTTTAGTTACTTTTGACTTCTTTGGTGTGCTTCTAAGCTAAGAAAAATATAATATAAGTTGATTTTTAGATGAACCCCACAACACGACTATGTTCAATTTTTAATCAATTTTTTAAAAAATTATAGTCAAGTCAACTATGGTGATTACTCTCACCAAGTTCAATACTTTGGACATTAGACCTAAAAGGCTAAAACCCCATGTTTTGTTTATGCACCTCACTCATCAAGATTCTCAAAAGAACCTCGACCTAATCAAACGAAACTAAATTAAAGAAATACTAAGGGAAAAAGCTTTCAGTAGGAAAAAGTACACGTGCAAAAGATGAGGAAATCGTTTGTTACGTGGATAGAAACCTATCGTCACATAGAGAAATCGTTAGCACGCGGACAAAATCTATTGGTGCACCAGCAAAAATCGTTTGGTAAGTGTACAGAAATTGACTTCCTATAAATGCTCCCCAAAAGGTGTCAAGTATTACAAAGGAACTCTTTACCAAATTTTTTACTTACAACTCTTTTACATTCGCATTATATTTTCTCTCCATACACTTACCCTCGTGTCAACGGTTAAACTAGGAGATAACACCAACCTATTTTTGTAGTTAACCAAGTTGCAGAAGTGGTTGACACTATCTTGTTTTAGTAAGGAAGTTGAGAAGCCATGTCAAAATAACTCTATTGATGCTGTTTGTTGAAATTGGACATAAAACCTATGACTAGACCACGAACTAAAAGCGAGACAAAATTAGGTGAAAGTATGTCACCATGACTTAGTTTAATACCTTGGAGACCTAAATGGGGGCCAATGATGGACTTCTTACTTAGTAAGGCTCATAGAACAGTCGAACCGGCACATAAACTACATGCAGTTCCACTGGGAAATCCTCATGTGTAAACCATCTTTAGTAACACAATCAGTTGCCCAACATACTATGGTAGATTAGTGGATATCTTTGTCTAGTATGCACTTTAGCTAACATGGGTGAGGCTGTATCCAGTGCCTGACGTTGTTTTACTAATCCTTTCTCCCGACATTAAGAGAGAGGCTAGAGATTGGATAACAACTTTGGCTTCTCGATCGATCAAACCACTTGATGAGCACTCTCGAAATTTTATGATGCACTACTTGACTAGCAAGAAAAAAATGAAGACATCCATCAGATTGATGCAAGTTGTCCAAGAAAAGGACGAGTCATTGCAATACTATTTGACCAGATTCAACAGAGTCACAGTAGGAATCAAGGATCTTCAAATATCAACTGTCATCCTCATAATAAAATAGTACATCGAATTGGTTCAAAATGTCCCTTTCAAAGAATCCCTATAAATGATGCATGAGTCGCTGAGAAAAGAATAGAGATAAATATATGGATGTATAAGAGGCGTACATAGTCAAAAAAGAATCTTTGTGAGTATAGGGAGCCTAAGATCTACAAGAGAAAGTTACATAATGGGTGAAATTCAATTGATAGTATAAACATGAAAATAATCATACAATCAAGGATAATGCCCGTGGTCGATTTAATAGACAGTAAAAGGAAGATACTAGGACTTTCACTCCTTTAAACACTTTACGTGCTAAGGTGTTGATAGAAATCCTATGAGTAGCTTAGATCCATGATTGACCCTGTCAAAAAAATAGACTAGAAGAAATATTGTCACATTCGTAGAGACTATGGACATGACACTGATAGTTGCCAATTGAATGAGGAGATCGAATGTTTGTTGAGAAGAGGGTTTTTACCTTAGTACATGAAAAATGATTATGGAAAAGAAAAAAGTTGATGAACACCCCCACCTCGCTGGGAAAAGTGATAAATGTAATTGTGCAAGGAATAGTGGCAAGTTGAGATTTCAATTCTAAGATAAAAATCATGTTCGCTCTAGTGATGCCTGCTTCCCTCTAAAAATGTGAGATTCATGGAGACATCATTTTCGAAGAAGAGAAATTGGAAAGCGTGACTTATGTGTTGTGGTCAAGTGCACTACTAAACAATCAATCACCTAACAAAAGGAAGGTAAAACAATTTATGCCAGAACATCACCTCGACAACGGATCACCTCGCAACTTTATGATCTTTTCAACCCAAAAAGTTCATGCATTATGTGGATATTCATAAATGGACTTGGAGGACTATTATTATACCTATGCTATGGAGGTTTCAAATTATGCCCATGTGGCACCAGTTAGCAAGCTCAATCAGGCTCGCGCTCTACATTATTGTCTAGCCTGATCAAGTCGAGGTGTTAAGGACCGCAGCTTTACTTAGCGCCTTGACACTATCGCAGTCGTAGTTTGCCTAACTTCGACCGCACATTGTAAATATTACTTCAAGTTGGGAGGATGGGCGAGAAGAGTATCTCAGTCATGTAATTTAGTAAGGGTTTTAAGAGAAATGAACCTTTTTTTGTGCACTATTCGATTAGAGGAGATCAAAGAGGCGAATGGTCCTATTCCAAAACCCGTTAAAAGGCTTATTCAGGAATTTGAGGATATCGTGTCGAACGAATTACCAAAGAAATTACCACCAAGAAGGACGATTGATCAAGAGATTGAACTTATTCCAGGCGCCAAACCTCCCGTCAGGGCACCATACCGTATGTGTCAGCCTTAGCTTAAAGAGCTTAGAAAGCAATTGAAAGAAATGTTGGAGAGTGGAATCATTGTGCCTGCGAAGTCGTCATACGGAGCTCCTGTATTGTTTCAGAAAAAGGGCGATGGTTCTCTTAGAATGTGTTGTGACTATCGAGCCTTGAACAAGATTACTGTAAAGAATATCTATCCTATTCCACTGGTTGCGGATTGCTTCGATCGACTGAGTCGAGCGAAATATTACACAAAAATTGATCTTAGGTCCGAATACTGGTAAGTTCGGATTAAGGAGGGCGACGAAGCAAAGACTACGGTGGTAACCAGATATGGAGCCTTTGAATTTAAAGTGATGCCTTTTGGTTTGACAAACGCTCCAGCAACATTTTGTACTATGATGAATCAGGTACTTCACGGGTTCTTAGATGATTTTGTCGTGGTGTACTTGAACGACATAGTAATCTACAGCGAGACATTAGAGAAACATGTCCAACATGTGAGGTAAGTTTTTAATCGGCTACGGGAGAATGAACTTTATGCCAAGCCGTCTAAATACTCGTTTGCTCAAACATCTATCAGTTTCTTGGGTCACATCATTGAACAGGGTAAAATCCGCATGTATTCGAAGAAGGTTACAGCCATCAAAGATTGGCAATCACCAAAAATCGTACATGATGTACGTTCATTTCTTGGGTTATGCAATTACTATCGAAGATTTGTGAAAGACTAATCAGAAATTGCACTGCCACTTACCGAATCGACAAAGAAGGATAAGGATTGTGATTCGTCATCCCAATGCCAAACTGCTTTTGAAAAGTTGAAGAAGTCCATGTGGATGAACCCGGTTTTAGCCTTACCGGATATGACCAAACCATTTGAAGTTCATACAGATGCTTTAGATTTTGCACTTGGTGGAGACTTCATGCAAGAAGGACATCCGGTAGTATAAGAGAGCCGAAAGTTAAACCAAACAGAACGTCGTTACTCGGCACATGAAAATGAATTGTTGGCAGTAGTCCATTGTCTCAGAGGATGGCGTCACTATTTGCTTGGGTCTCCATTTATTGTGAAGACGGATAACACTGCAGTTAGTCACTTCATGTTCCAACCAAAACTATCGAGCAAGCAGGCTCGTTGGTAGGAATTTCTTTCAGAGTTCAATTTTATGTTAGAATATCGTCCCGGATCTAGTAATCATGTTGCTGATGCTCTTAGTCGACGGGCCGATTTGGCTGCCATTTGCTCCGTAGCTGCTATTTCAGGGAGCACCATCTCCATGAACACTAGAGACCAAATTCGGCACTTATGGAGAAGGACCGGGCTACTCAATATTTGGTCGACCTCATCAAGTAGGGTAAAACTCGACAGTTCTGGCTCGATGGAGAACTAGTGAAGATAAAGGGAGACCACCTATATGTTCCTAAGGGTGGAGATTTGAGGAATTCACTGGAATTCACTAATTATAGAATGCCATGACACGATTTGGGCAGGGCATCCCGGAGAGAAACACACTTTTGCACTACTACAATGTGCATACTACTGACCTTAAATGGGGGAAGACATTGCAACCTATGTAAAAACCTGTCGTATTTGTCAGCAAGACAAGGCAGATCATCAAAAAAGGCAGGCTTGTTGAAGCCTCTTTCCGTCCCAACACGGCCATTCGAAAGTGTATCGATGGACTACATTATTGGGTTGCCAAAAGTTGAGAATTTTGGCACTATCATCGTCGTGGTGGACCGTCTATCAAAATATGCAACTTTCATTACAGCGCCTAAGTATGTATCCGAGGAAGAGACAGCTCAACTCTTCTTCAAACATATTGTCAAAAACTGGGGACTGCCTAAGGATATCGTCAGTGATCGAGATCCTCGTTTCACTGGCATATTTTGGACTGCGTTGTTCAAACTTCTTGGTTCAACTTTGAGCATGAGTTCTAGTTTTCACCCACAATCTGACGGACAGACGGAGAGCTTCAATTCTATGCCAGAAGAATATCTTCGGCACTTTATCTCCACTTCGCAGAAAAACTGGGTAAAACTTTTGGATGCGGTTCAGATTCGCTTCAATGCCCAAAAGAGTTCTTCTACCAATAAGAGTCCTTTTGAGATTGTTACTGGCTAGCAACTGCTATTCCCTTATACAGTGGATATCGAACGAAGTACCAAGTCCCCTCAAGCAAAGAACTTTTC